GTTTTTTGTTTTTTTTTTTCCGAGACAGGGTTTCTCTATGTAGCTTTGGAGCCTATCCTGGCACTCGCTCTGGAGACCAGGCTGGCCTCAAACTCACAGAGATCCACCTGCCTCTGCCTCCCGAGTGCTGGGATTAAAGGTGTGCACCACCAACACCAGGCAAATAAATCTCTGTTTAAAAAGAGAGAGAGATTGAATTGCTGGGAGAAATGTTACAACCTCCCAGACAAGTTTATATATTATAATGAAGATTTTTTTTCAAACTCAGGTATGTAAAAGATACTTTTTAGAAAATAGAAAAATAGATGTGAAGGAGCCAAGGTATAAGTAATGAGCATTGTTTTGTTTCTGTTTGTTTTTGAGACAGATTCTTATGAAACCCAAGCTGGCCTTGAACTCTGAATCCTTCTGTCTCTACCTTCTAAGTGCTGTAATTACATGTGCTGGGTTTGAAGCATTTTGCTGTGTTTTGAGATGTAGGAACAGGCAGGAGATGCTGACAAGTCCTTGAATAGGTCTCAATGTTGCTTTAGAATCAAAACACCCCTTAGTTTGTATTTGTCAGAGCTTCTTTCCTCCCTAGATTTAAAAAATAAATGAACAACCCCTCCTCAATCTTTTATTGAACTAGATTACTGTGGTAAACTTAAAATAGCCACTCCATGGGAAGCCAGTCACCAGGTGAGATGTCATTCTTTGGTGCCCGTGCTGTAAAGAGGGAGGGTGAAAATAGACATGCCTGTTCCAGCCATTCCAGCTGAGAGGCCACGCATGAGCAAAGAAGGCGTCATGGGTATGTGGTCCTGTCAGAATCAGCACCGTGACAAATTCCGAGTCCCCAGCTGAGCCCCATCAGCCAACAGCACTGAGGGAGATAATGAGATGGTTGTTTGAAGCCACTACATTTCAGAGTTTGTTCTGCAGCAAAATTAATCCCAGGAATGAAAGAGGGAATTGATAGAGGAACAGTAGGAATCCTTGTGAGGGCTATTAGGCTTCTGTGTGTGATGGAGCTGTTTGTCTGGCTGTGTGACTTTCTGTAGTTTTGTTTCCCAAGGCCAGGAGCAGAGTAAGAGAACAGTAGAGCTTCTGCATGGTTTGTATTTTACCATAGGGCATGAAGAGACATCAAGCAGCCAAGGAGTGATAAACAGTCATTTAATAAAGTTGGGTGTATTTGTTTGCCTTTTAACCAATTTACTTGTAGTATAGGAGTTGAACTCAGCAATCCTGTCCCCTAACCCCCATCCCCACATAAGAATAAGGCAAGCAGGCTGGAGAGATGGCTCAGTGGTTAAAAGCACTGGTTACTCTTCCAGAGGACCTGGGTTCAATTCCCAGCACTCACATGACAGCTCACAACTGTCTAACTCCAGGAGACCTGGCACCCTCACACAGACACACATGCAGTGCAGGCAAAATACCAACACACATAAAAATAAATAACTCTTAAAAAAAAAAAAAAAGAGCCATGCAGTGGTGGGGCACACCTTTAATCCCAGCACTGGGGACTCAGAGGCACACCTTTAATCCCAGTCTTCCAGAGGCAGAGACAGGTGGATCTCTGAGAGTTCAAGGCCAGCCTGGTCTACGAGAGCTATTTCCAGGACAGCCTCCAAAGCTACAGGGAAACCCTGTCTCAAAAAACCAAACAGAAAGAAAGACACAAAGAAAAAGAATAAGGCGAGCATTTCACCACCATTAAACTATATTAGACTGGATTTGATCTTAAAAGAAAACAAGAGTCCAGAATGGAGGTGTGGTTCCTAAAGACTTGGCTAGAACAATGTTACCCAACTAAATTCACTTGTCAAAGAACAGTAACCACAATTGAGACCAGCAAGGGACATGACTAACAACATCTAATGACTGGTCTCAAGCATTTCCTCCTCTTAACTCCCAGCCACCTTGCTTTATTCATAGTTCTGCCTCTTCAATGTAATCACTCCTGCACTCCAGTGATTCCCAGTCTTGAGAAGGTGGCATCCAATGGCACAGGGGCTATTGTGTTCTTTTGAACATCTTGTAGCTCTTTGCTCAGTGCTCAGAGAAGCTTTTTTTATCAAGAATGTGTAGATGGCTAATGTTTAAGAAGAAATATCACTGGGTAGCGGCGTCAAATGTCTTTAATCCCAGCACTTGGGAGACAGAGACAAGCAGATCTCAGAGAGTTCCAGGCCAGCCTGGCCTACAAATCGAATTCCAGGACAGCCAGGACTGTTACACAGAGAAACCCTGTCAAGAAATATCAACTGGTTTTGTCATTAACTTTTTTCTTGAGCATGAAACCGTTTTGTGCACTTTCAAAACCACCATCAGTCACAATGGTTTTTGTAGTTTTTGTTTTATGGTGTGAGGGATGGAACCTAGAGCCTGACATATGCTAGGCAAGTGTTTTACCACTGAGCTACACATCCAGACCTGGTATTCTGTCACTTTGATGAGCCCTCTCGGGTAGATCAAACCCTTGTCCTTGGTAAAGACTTCCAATGTCATAGAGTTTAATCCATGACCTGAAGTCATGATGAGAAAGCTTACTCTTCATGGAGGTGGAGAAGCACAGGATATTTTTCTTCAAAGTGAGGTTTCAGCAAGGACCTGAGGCTAACAAGGAGATGCAATTGTGAATGGAGCTGAGTACACCTGAGCTGGGCAGGTAGATAATCCAGCTAAGAATTGGACATTTATTTTTGGAAAACAAGGACGCTGCAGGTGTCAGTAGGGTCCCTTTAATTGCATTCCCCATGCACTCACTGTCTTGAAGCTGTTCTAACTGGAAAATAAGCATGTGGACTATGTCTCACATTAAGTAAAAGTAGCCTCTATGTTTGCTGAAAATTTCAAACTGCATAGTCACCACTCCCAAGGCACAACAGCTGAAGCCTTCCAGTTTGGTAAGTGACAGTGACTTTAGAGAATGTGAAGAGTAATGTTAACAGAATCTAAGATCTGCACTGAGAATGTGTTGACTGGAACAGACAGATGTTCACACAACAGGTGGAGTAATCACACCAAGTATCACCAGAACCCTCTTGACACATATGGGACAGAAACAAAGAAAGGTAAATACCCAACTCTATCTGCAGAAGGCCTGGAGCTACTGAGGAGGAACTGGAAGTGGTTTCGTTCTCAGGAAAAAAGGTGAGGAACAAGGGCATTTTCACATTCCTTTAAAAGCACCAATTTCAAGCCTAATTATGCATTCCTGTAATCCCAACACGCAGGAGGCTGACACAAGAGGACCACAGAGAGTTTGAGTGTTGCAGCTTCTATGACCTGCCTGGGGGAAGAATTCAGATTTCTGCAGCTTGCCTTCTGGGAGGTAGAAAGGAGAAATAAGAGGGCAGGGGAAGGGCAGAAACCACCTTAAGCTGCAGAGGCTGCTTCTGAGACCTTCACCTTGGGGTACTGTTTTCCGAACTCCAACCTTTGATTGTAGAGTCACAATAGCTGAGTCACCCAAGGTCTCCACAGATATGACTGGGAAAAGGACCGTGGAACTGAAACCAAAGACCAGGCTCTGGTGTGCATACCTTCAATCCCAGCACTCAGGAGGCTCAGGCAAGGAGGATTGAAAGCCCTAGAACAGCTAGGGCTACATAGCAAGACTCTCTACAACTGCCATGCCATCTCAAGCAAGGAAACTAGAACCAAAGATGTCGAATATAGTCTTTGTTTGATAGTCACCCTTTGTGTAAATATTGTCCCAAAAATTATAAGTGACTTCATAACTGTGGAGAGTTGGTAGTAAGACAACCTAAAGCTGTAGAGAATGAATTTAACATTGTGGATTGCAGCCCAGTGAATCTGTGCAAGAGGCAAGCCAGAGATCTTTGTTGCTCTGGCTAACCTATAACTCGCTGAATAGACCAGGGTGCCCTTGCCCCCCAAATGCTGGATTAGAGGCATTTGCCACTGTATCCGGCTCTATTGAGAACATTCTCCAGTCAAAGAACCTCATGGAATGGATGGAACCACAGATGCCGAAGACATCACTTGGAGCTCATCAAACCTGTAGAATCAGAAGCTGCACCTGGGGACTATCAAGTCACAATCACATCTAACAAGACTTGCCAGTGATGCCCCTGCAAACTAAAGTATGAAAAGTATTTCCCAAGAGTGGTTGTATGGCTTGAATACCCGTGTATTCGAAAGGCTCCAATGTTGAAATGACAACCTGAAAGGTGATGATAGTAGAGGGTGGGACTTTTGAAAAGTTATTAGCTTATGATGGAGGATCCTTGGCACTGGGATTAGCACCTTATAATAGGAGACTCTTGAGAACTACCTAGGAACCAGAAAGTGGCTCTCATCAGCTAGCTGTTCTTTGATCTTGAACGTTTCACCTGCAGAACTAACCATGAGAAGTAACTCTGTTCATAAGCCACCTGGTCCATTGTATCTTATTGTAGTCATGCAAATAGATGGGCATTAGAGTATCCAAGGAACTAGAACTAGCTGTAGCAAAGTAACTGTACTCAGAGCTCTGATGAATGCTCAGAACTATACAACCTGGAGTTGCAGGAACACAGCCTGGTCAGAGCCCCCCATTAGCTGGACTTAGTACAAATGATCTTTGACTCTGGTTTCTTGATTTTAGAGCTGGGAGCATAGTTTACTGGTCCAATGCCTGCCTAACCTGTGAAAGGCCCTGGATTCTGTTCCCCACACCATTTAGCAGGAGGGGAACCATGTATTTCAGGAAGTATATTGTGTTGTTGCCTCACCCTGCTTTCAGCCTGCCCTGGAAGTCACCTGCACACAATTCTTTTATATGTTTATGGATCCCTGTTTGTTCTGTCTGTCTGGAAGTATTTTCTGGTCACTACTGTGACTGAGGCAAGCCAGCAGGTGGAATTTTTATGCCTCTGGAATTAGCCTTCTAACAATGAGTTGGAATTGAAAGATAAACACCCCAGCTTCTTTGCCTCTCAGCCTACTCTACGTGGCTCCAGTTTATAGTGCTTAAAGAAGAGTAGATTGCT